TATATATATATATATATATATAAAACAAAAGATCAATTTTTTAATCGAGACGTGTAAACAATGAACGAAAACAACGAAAAAAAATGAAATAATATCAGAAATTCGTGTCGACACCACGTGGATGATCGTTAATTGAAAAAAAGTCAAATGGAATAGGAAATGGATTTGTACGTAAATGTAAGTAAAGAATACGACACGTATACAATTGTCATTCGTGATATTATCGATCTTCCTTGAACGGCCTGAATGCTGTTCGATATCTTTGACATTTGCATCCATCTGCACGGTAAATCCGAAGCTGTCTCTCCATCTTACTCTCTTACTCTCTATCCCTATCTCTATTCCAATCCAGAGAGAGAGAGAAACACAAGGAGAGAGAGAGAGTGAGAGTGAGAGAGAGAGATTCTCGGTTAAACCACATTGGAGAAACCGTCCTTGTCGATTGTCGTCCGAGAAACGAAGATAGAGAATGAGAGAGAGAGAGAGAGAAATAAGGAGGGAGGGGGAAGAAGGAAAGAGAGAGAGAGAGAGAGAGGACAATTGTCTAGGATATTGAAATAGCCTGATATACGATATACAATATGCATCGGAGAAGCTATCAATCAGCGTTACTCGATGCCTCTTCTGTCTCTGTTTGTCTGTCTGTCTGTCTGTCTTTCTCACTCTTTCTCTAGAGGGGAGAATATTAGAATGCTCAGGGAGATTGACCATTCGAATATTCAAATTCTCGCCAGTTTTACATAACCGACTTGTATATAACTCCGGTGTGAGTATTATGCAATGGAAAGGTAGAGAGAGGGGGGGAGGGGGAAGGAGAGAGAGAGAGAGAGAAAACGTAAATACGGCGTCAGTGAACAACAACGAACGTTGAACGACGTAATATTAAAATCTAGTGTTCTATCCAATATTCAAATTTACTATCCATACCCTATATCCTATTCTCTATTTTATTTTTTGATTTTTCTCTATATAGAAAGGGAATGGTAATGATTATATATCGTATATTTAAAATATTTGTACAACGCGTTGTTAGTTATTATTATGAATTTTGTGTAATTATTAAATAGAGTTCTTAATAATAAGGTATCATAGGGAAGTTGGACATCAAAAAAAGAAGTAGAACTTAATTTTGATAAGTTGACAACTTAAGTTTGTGAAAAAAAAATTAAGTTCTACTTCTTTTTTTGATGTCCAAATTCCTTATGATACCTTCTTATTAAGAATTTTATTTTTGGACGAGAGAAACAACTGATTAAATAGAGTATTTCGATCGTTTATATATTTTGAAATATTATATCATAATATATATATATATATATATAGAAATGTGTAATATTTATTTGAAATACGTAATCGAAGATTATGCAGCATTTATAAATTGTACGATGAGGCTTATAACGAAAATGAGATCATTTAGAGAATAAATTTCTCTCTCTCTCTCTCTCTTTCTCATTTTATCCCCCCCCCTCTCTCTCTCTTTCTGTTCACTTATCGTTATTCGCAAATCACCTACTTCGTGGCCACGAATAATGACAACAACGAGCAAACGAGGAAAATCGATTTTCAAGCGATTAATATCTCTCCTCGTTGTGATGTCCAAGAGTCCATTTGTTACGCGTTCATCATATTTATTCGCCTCTCGTTATCCTCGTATAGGGAAAACAAAAAATCTCAGGGATATAAACCAGCATAAAAAAAAATATATACATATATATATATAAAATATTGTGTTCCATTAGAAGAATGACAAAAAATAGAGAGAAAGTTAAAGAAGAAATAAGAAAATTTGTTTTTACAATCGATTAAGGGGTTACATGGGTTTACACCGAGAAAAAATAGCATATTTTCAACAATTTTTTTTTCTATATAACAAATGGAATTCTTATTCAAACTTTTTATAGTATTTAAGATACATATTTAAAGAACATTTTCTGAATTTTTGGTTGAAAAATATTTTAAACTCAGCCATTGCGACGTCATTTCCGGTGACCCCACCGAAAAAAAGTGTTTTCGCGTTGACAGCAGAACTTACAAACGGTGGGGGTTTTTCTGTTGAAAAAATAGGGTCTTTTAGTGAATACTTAAAACTAGAAACTGGACGAAGGAAAAAGAAAAAAATTAAAATTTGGATTTTTGGCAACGTTTTTAGCAAGAACATTCAAATTTCGCTACAATTTGCACCACATTTTGGTTTCATAAAATTCGATTTTATGAAAAAAACGAAAATCCTTCGTCCAAGTCCTTGTCAATAGTATCACGAAGACGTGTAGCAAATTTCATCAAAATCGGTTAAATAGTTTTCGAGAAATCTTGACAACCAACTTTAGAAAAAGCGTTTTGAGAAAAACGCGTTTAAAGATTTGAGTGCTGGTATAAGAGCCATTAAAGAATGGAACTTCCCAGGGCTCTATCTTTAAAACTACTACTCCTATCGACTTCAAAATTGAATACAATATTCTATAAGAGTTGTAGAATTGAAAAAAAATAAAAAAAAAAAATTTTTTTGAAAGTCCCAAACCCATGTAACCCTATTATTAACAATAAACCCTTTGAATACAATGAATATTCTCGTATAATTCACGTTTCGAATAATTTGATTAAAATATTCTTACTTATTACTACCTTTTTTATTGTTTCTGTTTTAATTTATAATAACAACGAACGTATTATTATTTTATCCATAAAATAAATTACAATTTTACTAATAATCGTTAACTACGGTTCGTAATTCTTTTTTGTTTATATTATATTAATTAATATTAAACGTATATACGTTTTTTGCGTGTTAACCACGTTCCGTTGAAAAGTTTATAAAATGTAAAAGAAAAAAAAAAGAAGAAGAATAATAACAATTTTCAATTGTAATCGATTTTATTTCTTACTTGGAAACCGTCGTAGGTCCACGATCCAAATTTCATAACGCAGGTTTGCTCGTCGAAAGGAAAATATTCAACGTCGATCTCGCAGGAAGACTTGTAAATCGCCGGTGGTTTCCATTCGACTCTTCCCGTGTAATTTAACGTTGCCTTGGTGGCCAATGTTACTTCGAAGTTACCGTCGGCACTTTAAATATATAAACATTCAAAGAATATACACTTTTGAAACGTTCTAATGTATCAAAATTCATCATCAAATTAAAATTTTATTAATCAGATTGTTTGTTTGATATAATAATAAATAAATTTAATCAACGTAATACAATTAATTGCATATAATAGAGACAAAATATATATAAACAAATATATATATTTTTAAATATATCAATGATACTATTTTTCAGCACAAATTTGTATATATAATATATCATAAAAAACCATCTAATATGAAAATAAAAATAACATAATTTAATGCAGATAATACATTTGTTGTAGTATCATAATAATTATATGTGATACAATTTCTTATTTTTCAAGAAACATGGAAAAAATACCATAAATATATATTTTTTATTTCATATTTTTAAAATATAATACATATAAATAAGAAAAAGACAGAGAGAGAAAAAACATATACAATAAAAAACTTACTTGTTGTATAAAACTATATCGGGTCTCCATATATGATCGGATGGCACGTGCAACATTTCCACTCCGCCGTACTCCTTCGGATCCCATTTTAATTTGTAATCGTACCATGACTGAAAAAACAATGTGAAAAGCAAAAATGGAAAACTTTAATCGTGCTCTACGAAAAGCTTGCAGGTGTTTTCCGTTGAAATCATGTCCATTTAATATACATGATACGCATACATATATACGTACTTATATATATATAAACATATGTATATACACTTATATACAGAAATATTTTTTTTATTTTGGAGATGTTTCGTATGTTTCGGCGCGTTATCTGCTTTCGCGTGACCTGCTACTAACGGGGAAAAAAACAAAACAAAACGAAAAAAGATATTTTCATTTTTTTTTTTTTTTCGTACGACCGTTTCGTTTCTCCGGATGTTTTCAATCCATCGCGTGCAACGAAATTTCTTTTTTTCTCTAGTTTCCAAAAAAATGAGAAAGAGAGAGGGGTAAGGGGAATGGGGATAGAGAAGGTAAAAAACCGAAACAACGAAACTGTGGAAAGGAAAGAAAGGAAACAACAAAAAATAGATATATATATATATATACGTTGTATGCATGTGTGTATATATAAGGCAATAAGCCGACTCTTCTAGAATTACTTCGCTAAAGTTTTCAGAGTTTGTGTCCGACGAGAACGAAGGAGATTTTAGCACGTAAGCGTTCTGTATTTTTTTCTTTCCTGTTTTTTTTTTTCATTTTCCATTTTCCAACAAGCCGGAACGTGGCTTTGTGTTAAACCAAAACTCATAAGTTGCGCTTATGAAAAGAATTAAGATTTTTTTTTTTTTTATAATAACGTTTCTTCCCCTTTTTCTACTTGAATATGATTGAAAAGTTTTCATAATAATTATTATTATTATTATTATTTTAGTATTTAATTAAATAGTATATATAGTTATGTAAAATTAGGAAGATATGGCAGCTTATGTTAGATAACTTTTGATTTATTTATTTGTTTCTCTTTTTTCTTATTTTCTCTTCCCTTTTACGTTTTATGGTGTTTCACGTTTTTGAAGGAAGATCCTTTACAGGAACGAAAATGATCGATTTTAAGAGGATGTAACGAAGCAGAGGAAGTTGAAGCTAGAAGAGCGGTTGTACGCAACATGGAACTACATGAGCGTGTACACACTGACGAAGTTTCTCTTGCGGTTCTTTGCACGAACGGGAGTGCATACCGTTTGTATCAACGGTAATGTATGCACGACCATCGATAACCGCACAGCTTTTAACCAGTCCACCACCTGACTTACCCTTCCTTCCCCAACCCCCCTCACCCTACCATTTAATATTTAATATCGTTGTCTTTATCTTATTTAGTATCATCATTATTGTTTTTTTTTTCTTTTACATTTTATTTCGTTAATAATGATTAGTAATGATTTGTTTTATATCACAAACAATGTAAAGGTTTTTTTATCGTAAATATTTAAGTTTAAAAATTATGAAATATTGTATAAGTTTAGAAAATTATCAAAAAATTATATAAATTTAAATTATTCTAATATAAAATAAATCATGGAATGAATTTGTTGATTAATTGTTAATCTACTTTACATACATAGAATATTTTGTCTACGTTTTAATCAACTATATTCTTTAATTTACAAAATAATATTACAGATCGTTTGAATATGATAAATGAAAAAAAAATAATAATTTTGAAATATATTATACCTGTTCGACCCAAAGATTCGTTGTCATGATCTGATTCTTCAAGTTCTGAAATAAGAGCAAAACGGAAGAGACGTTAACGATCGTATGTGATTTACTAATGATATACTTTACGTGAATTACTCGATGACAACATCATCATCATCGTCACATTATCATCATCATCATCATCATCAACCGACCACGTCGATGAGCTGCGAGAGTTTGAGCTTGATCTTGACGGTGAGGGCATCCGTGACGTTTACCACCGGACGTACCAATTTGTTGTAATTCGATAGGAGGTCGTCGTAAAGTCGCTTTGCGTCTGGATTTCCTGAGCATCCTAAATATGACACAACAAGAAACAAGAAAAAAGAAATAAAAATATATTAAAACAACCTCACGCGAAAATTTTGTACAACTGGTATAAACGATTTGTTCAAATCGATAAATTAAAATTCACGCGTATAAAATTTCGACATTAAACAAAACAAAAATTTAATACAAAATAAAAAGATAACGGGAAGACATTTTTATCGAACAATTATATTAATTCGTAATCGAATTTAAACGGAAATAAAATGCAAACGAAAACATTTTCGAGTACAAAGAAGAAACGAGAAAGGTGTGAAAAATAAAGAAGTAAAACGATTTACTTTCTTCTTTTTTTTTCCCCTATTAAATTGTCAATGATTCGTAAAAGAGAAGTGATTATTGTATTATAAAATTCCTCGAAGAATTTCACCGTTATTACTCAGTTGTAATTAAATTTTTAAGCCTTTTAGAACATCAAGACACGGATCGCTCAAAGGGACATTAACGGGAGTTTCGAGCGTAACAATGTTGAAAATTACACCTTACATTTAATTTCGCTGGAAGAACACGTTGAACCAAAAGAGTAAAAGTAACGAAAAAAAAAAAA